TAGCCTTATATTGATGAAACAAATTCTCACACATTGAAATTTTAAAATATTTTAAGATTCTATTCTTTACTTCTCTACTTATACTACTTGATAAATTACCATAATAAAAAATGTTAATTTATATCTAACTTACTTTGTAAAAGTAAATTAGATAAAACATGGTAAATTTGACTAGTTCTCAATATGTGACAACATGTCATTGATCTACCTAAACATTCTAAAAAAAATTTAATCACTAGATTGAGATGTCGATATGTCATTTGGAATGTTCAAACTTCTATAATTTTCATTTGACACTAAGTTAACTTTAGACTTAATCCAATCAATGAAGTTTCCATAACTTAATCAAACCAATCAAAAGTAATCATATAGTCAAAAGTATTTTCTCTTGGAATCTAGATTTTTGTGAAAGTCAAAATAGTATTACTCACTCAAAAATTCTAGATGTATTCCAATTATTTTGCCAAGTATAGATTTAATATCTTAACTTTGTCATAACTAAATATACTTAGTTATAATTAGCTAGATTTAGTAATAACTAAGTTAATCATGATCTACTCCTTGGCTACTTCTAACAATTACTTTACATATACAACGAATCGTCTTATAGCATTGATTGGAAGCTAAGATACCTACAAATGACTGGAAATCGTATCCAAGCAACAAATATGCTGATATAGAGATTTTGTTTATTTTTTTTTCTTGCTTGGACCTTGAACAGTAAATTGCAGTCAAATAAATTTAAAGACGAGTAGTGTAAATTGTTTGCTACTCTTCAATCTTGCTGAAATATGAATCGGTTAAAGATTGTTGTGTGGCATGTTTTTTACCATAACATGTACACAAATGAATGTGACTCTCATATACTATATGGCGATAATTACAACGCCTCAAAATATGTTACTCATATTTTGTTTGATGTTAATTTTGCTCAAAGTACTTGGTATCTAGTGATCAAGTTGCATTGGTTCCGTGTTGGCTCAAGAATATTGTTCAAAAGTGAATAATCTTTAGCATCTCTTGAAGCTCTGACTACAGAAATCAAATGTTACTGAGGGCGGAGAAGAATGGATGTTGATGACAGATATATGTATGCATCTTTGACTGAGTAGGAATCAAGTTGTATACTTTAATCTTCTGTTCAACGGGAACATTCATCTAGAATTTGCAACACAGTTGACAAGGTTATTGCTCCATGGAAAGAATCAAACGTTTGAAGTACTTTCAAGTAGCTTTTGGTGATTGCTCAAATGCTTTATAATTCATTAGCTAGCAAATTTACTATTAGAATCTAGAGATGTCTGAACAAACACTTAGAACTTTATTTTAATTTTGAAGTAATAACAAAAATCTTTCACAAGATGGGAGCAGCATTCGGGAATAGATATTCTTTTGACTTTTGTTACGAGGGTTGTAGATTCGCCCCAATCTTAGCTTTATCTTCAAGTATGCACATTATGACTAGTTGATATGCAATTTTGATAGAAGGTGCATCTTTTGAATAGGTGGTTGTTAGCTAAGGTTTGGTTTGTAGTTCTAGTATTGGCTGTGAGACGGCCAAATTTGACCTTGTTTTAGTAGTAAATCTTCTTCTTGGATCTTTGATCTAGCATTCTCTTGCAGCACTTCCTAATGGACTATATTTACTTTATCTCTTTTGCTTGTTTGTGTGGATGATCTTTCTGGACTTTGGATGCGTGAGTCACTGCTTTGTGACTTTTTGTGTTTCATCTTTTAGTTTGTTTTGCGGTTTGGACTTGATGGAATTTTGGTTGGTGGAGTTGTTTTTGTTATTCTTCTTCTAAATTTGGAGTTGGCTTTCCCACTACTCTTTGATCTGTTGTATTTTGTTAAATTGCTCTTGCTTATTGAACATTTGACTGTCGGATGTTCGATGTGGTAGGTTTTTGTATTACCATTGTTGCGCATTAGATTGAATTCATATTGCAATTTCTACAGATTTTCATCAATACAGGTACCAGCAGCCTGCCTTGTTTCAACAATGAGATTGAACAACCTGTAAATCGTTTGTACTGTCATAACGATATGTTTCGAAATTGTTTTGAACAATCAAAGACTCTGAATGACACAACAAGTAATCTAGTTATGAAACAATGTACATCTACAAAATTCTTTCAATTTTTCTACAGTTCATTTTAATCTTTTCGATACATTTTGAAGTGGCAAATGATCTACTTGACAGTTTCAAGTGTCTAGGTAATCACATTGATACACTATCTGTTGCAGTATCTCTACATGATAACAATTCATTCTATTTTCAAATCTTGCCACCAAGTTGTAACTTCCAAACCATTCGTCACGCTACAACCACTCACAATCATTTCCCTACACTCTAGCAAAAGGTCATGTAGTAACAAAAGTTTTATTTAGAACTTGCTGATGGTATCGTCTCTCTATGAGATAACAATTTTCAAAACTTGCAACCAAGTTGTAACTTTCAACGGTTACCTCACTCTAAAGCCCCAGACAGACACTCCCCCACACTGTAGCTCACACTACACCCACAAACTATAGCTCCATAGGACAATAACTCCCTCAACATATGGTTAGGAAAATTATATTTAGAACTTAGTCACTCCCCCACACTGTAGCTCACACTACACCCACAAACTATATGACTCCCTCAACATATGGTCAAGGAAATTATATTTAGAACTTGGTGACCGCGTGCAATCGGTGGTTTCCTTAGTCGGGTAAAATGATATATCCCCTCTGATCACAGGAACATATATTTATGTTTAGCAAGGATCCAGAAGTAATTCGTTAAGAAAATAACCTGAAATATCAGTTTAGTTTACCTTTACGTCATTAACTCACTTTGGTGTTAGATTTCTGATACCGAAATTAATTTTATCCTCAAGGGTTAAATATTTTCATTGGTACGTTAATACTTGTTTACTATTCTTCCTATATCCATGAAGTGTTATTTCGCAAGTATAAGTCATTGTTGGATCTTCCGTAAATAGAACAACATATATATTCGTCGTAGAGTATCTCAAGACACACGCTAACTTAAATATATCCAATTCGAAACCACTTGCTTACCGTTACTTTTAAAAAACAAATTTTAAACCTAAAATTGCTCTACATGAAACAATGATATCTATCAGACAAAAACGAATGGTTCATAACCATATGTAAGATTATTCCTATCACTATCTCTTTCACCTTCTAAGTATGAAAGGTTTCCAAAGTTTCAATCGCAACTACCTTCGCACTTGCCACCGGTGGATACATTGTTAACTACCTTCGCACGGATAGCTTGTGTTTATGATATACCAGGACTTGAAAAGATTTGTGTAAGATGTTCGCAAATGAGTAGTGACTTCAATTGGAGGAAGCTACTGGAGACGTACTCTACTGCAGTCTTCAAAAGAATAACCTAACGGGAAAATATCATCACAGCAATGAGGTACGAAACAAGCATGGTGAAAAGATCCAGAGTTCGCTCCAAACATGAGGCACCATTTTACACGCATAAGTCCACAATAATTACATTGGCGCATAAATTCTGACGTATCCATGACGTTTAGTTCGCATTGTTCCCACGCAGAGACGAGTATTGACTCCGACAGTTGTTCAATTTGAAAGTTCCTATTCATTTCAAACCATTAAAATCGTACACGGTTCAAATTCGAACACGGTGCTCACCGCTTGAACCACGAAATGACCTAAGTCCAGCGCCTTCGGTTCACTCCGCCCGCACCAAGGCAGACAACTTCAAACCAAATCCACTCAAAATGCACTGTCAGCAGAAGTGTTCCTTTCATGAGATGACAATCAGACTGGATCAGAAGACTCGAAATCACGAAAAAGGAGAGGACATTCTTGCAACATAGCATGTCTCCTGCTCCACATAAAGAGTTAAGACTATGTGATAGAACTTTGAGAATAATCACAGCACAACCTACATAATATGTCTTTTACCTTAATGATTTCTGACAAGCAAGTCGCAAATCATTTTCATATTTCTGCAGTACGAAATGATACTAAACAAAACATACAGAAGGAGGATATATCTTTATATCTTACAGAACCTGTGACAATGAGTAGACTATGCCAAAAAAAACGAGTATCTAACATTGCAAGCGTAACATTCTAATGACCACTTGGTTTGCATACGTTATGTATACATGTCAGCAGTCAAAACCGAGTGCATCCAAAAACAACTGCAGTGTTTCCAAAGACATATTGTGACATCTTCTACACTCTGAGCAGCCAATAGCGGGCATTGAACCAAGAGATGTGGCTCTACATTGTCCTCGAACCTGAAAATGTTGAGAAAATCGCAAATAGAGTGTGTAGAGAGCTAACACTAATCGGATCCACGAAAGGTACTAAGATTGAAAAAATGTGCAAGGAAACCACTTTCCTGGTGCAGGGTCGGCGTCGTTGTAGAAAAATGATAAAACAGGACAATGTGGAACGTCTTCCGCTTTATCTAGACCAAATTACATTAGTCCCAAACCCTGACAAAACAAACTGACTCAATAGACTATTTTCAGAACCCCAAACTTGCTTTGCTTACCGGGGATATAAATTACCGATGCCATGATATAGTTGACAAACTAAACAGACAACTGATCGTCTGTTGAATCCGCATATGTTCGTACACACCTTATGCCATCTAGTAGGTCCCCGCTGTGACGCCAAGAGAAACCTGAGTAATTTCAAGATAAAACGATCAATCCTAAAAATCAGTTCACCGCCGGACTCCAAAAGATGTTAATGTACTGGGGAGGCAAAACTTTGACTTGATTCAGATTTATGCACCTCCTCCCCAATCGCCACGTCTTTGCTATATAGGCTAGATCAAAACTACACCAGACCCAAATGAAATTAGCGTGCAAAACTTGTTCAACAGGAAGTTAATTTCTTCAACTAGCAGGTCGCATCATCAAAGGCCATGAGGACGACAAAGACTCTCAATCAGAAAAACGCTGCGTGAACAAAAAATCCAGCTGCGAAGAACAATCTTTGAAAGAAAAAAGACCTGATCTTTTTTCAATTCATGTCTACATGACAGAGTCGACTGTCAAAATCATTTCCTTTCATCATTGTCCGAAACATGTGGATCGTACAAAAAAATGTTAAGGTTCCAACAACCTTTCTGAGGTTGACCAGCTTCGAGTTCTCAAAAAAGAGGCGATGTGTACAGTAATCGAGCTCTAGGCATGGTAACCTGAAGTGTATCGATTTACAAAGGAGATAGCCCGACTTGCTTACTTTGGAAGCAACGTGGTTGGACCTGTGTCTGTGACAAGGTTTAACACTTCCACACGGTGCTTCAAGGACTTGCCACCTCAATGTTCAGGCGTGTATAGCAGATTACAGAATTGAAGAATCCGCTATCACTAAGAATGCCGAGTAGACCTCTAAAGCACAGTCGCCAATCTTCACAGCTGCATTCGCCAGTCTTAGAGCAGTACACGCCGGAGTTTCTATGCTTGTTCCAGAGCATGTGAAGATTGTCCGTAGCGTTTTGGAATTCCGGCCTCGACAGCACGGTCACTGCCAGTAACGAGTAGACTTCGCGTCCGACCGAATTAAGGCGTCGGAAAACGGTGCTGTCACGGCCTCGCCCGAGATCAAGATTGCAACAAGCTGCACATCGGGATCTCTAGAAGTGGTTCCCCGGCCTCATCGAACAGAGGCCGGAAAAGAAGAACATGAACAGACGCCGCCTATTATAAGTAGTGTTCTGCACAAGAACAAAAAGTAGCAAGGCAGCCATGAGATTCCATAATTTAAAGCACAGACATTAACGAAGAAAGCTTGAATTGCAACTGAGAAACCTAATACAGCTTCACAACCGCAACAAACTTGCTTCCAACGGCAACCACACCGTGTACCCTCCAGTCAAACAATGTGGTTAAGATAATTAGTAAGGCATTTTTCTTCGGGAGCGGCTAGTTATCCCTCAATTTAGGCTAACAATCCCTCACCCTACTATACTCTGCGGAAGAGAGGTCTCGACTAAGGGCTGTCAACCTGTTTGATATATATCTATGGGGATTTCGCCTTTCTTCTACAATTCTGCAAATAGATTTTATGCCTATGCCGCTTTTCATATCATCGTGCCTGGAATTGGAGGAAGGCGGGGGTCGAGACAAATCGAGTCGATTCGGTGCTGGCTACAAAACTGCCAAGAGGACGAAGAGTATGCCGCGCAACCCCGGGATCCATGGTCCAATTTCACTAGCAAAAGCTGCACGAACGATCGATGCGCAATTCACCATCCGGCATAAACTCGAACACTCGCAAAGCTGTACTGAATGAATGACCCCGGCGGGGAGCTGTTGTGTGCAACACCAACGCGGTCGTGGATGCCAATGGGAGGGGGGAAGGAATTCCTCGCTGCCGTTGAAGAGCGCAAATTACGAGAGCCCCCGAGGTTCAAATTTGGGAGAAAAAGAAGATTTGACCCACAGCCCCCAATAAATCCCGGCCAGCAGCAGCCTAGGAGGACCCCTTGCACCGAAGCACTAGCCCTCCTCTATTTAATATATTCACTCTGACCAATGACAGAGGTTACTGTAGAGTGAGGGATAATTGGCCTAAATTGAGGTATAACTAGCCCCTCCCTTTTCTTCACCTTCAGGACGATACGGTTGTGAAATCAAAACATTCTTCAGTACTTACGTTCTCAGAGTACAGCAAACCCATACAACGTAAAACAGAACGTACTATCCGAAGAGAGCGCTCCTCCCAAGACAGGAAAATAAACCAACGGATGCAACAGGAAACACATTTGGATTTCAAGATGCTGAGACGACTCCTCACGAAATTGATTGCACGTGGAACACATGTAGATAATCTGCAATTTGAGACCTGATTTGAGCTCTGTAACACTTACAACCTTCCAATCCAACTAACGGAATACATTAGCACTATAATACAATCTTCGCCTCCAAGATTTCTCGCCTCTCAAGCAAAACCAGGCTTTATCACCTAGGCATATTCAGGCGTTATCCATCGTCTAAGATTTTTAGACAGGCAACACGCTTAAATCCTTACCCACTTTCTATCTGGTAAGAGAATACTTTAAAACTCAGAAGCTTCAACTTCTTCGGCCAAAGTTCCAAACGAATATTTTTTTAACCGATCAGACGGGAAGGAAATGGTTTGCGCAGAGCCCAAAAAGAATATCTCAAGGCGAAAGATTGAGTCTCAGGTGGATGGATAAAGTACATATCGAAGTACCACGCTACATACATACTTCTGAGGTGCAGTTCACATAGTTGATTCCCGAGCAAAGTCCACAAAAGGGTTGACACTGTCTTGAATGCTTCTCCGTCACAAGGCGATAAAGCCCCGAGGATGAAAAACTCATTCGGGACTACGAAGACTAAGAGAAGTAATCGGGTAAAAAGCAGCAGGAAAGCAAGAGGGTGACCGGAAAAGAGTTGGCAATGCACAGTAACAAAAACCAAAACGATACACCACCGTTTTTCCCACGTAAGTTGCCCTCCAACAAAAAAGACCTGCTCGACTCCCTCCCAAACACTGGTCATCTCGTTGTTTTTTGACTGTCAAGCGCAGACGGTTCGATGTAACTTATCCCTGGACAGACAAGTTGAACCTAGACGCCTAGCTCCTCTTAGCATAGAGCTTTACGGTACAAGTCCTTCCCGTTCCAGAGTCCACTAATCCCTTGCCTACAAGACTGCTGCACGGAAGGTTTAGATCTACTAAACAACACCACGGAGTCGAGGAGGCAATCACCAACAAATCGGCTGTGAAGGTTGGTGGCCAAAATTGCAGACATGTTTACTGGAGAACTGGCAACAAACTCCTCAGCGCAGGCAGTATTTTGCAAATGAGGGAAATATAGGGGAGACGCCTGATAACAACTTGATAAGAGCAACTATACACTCAGTCAGGACTCCATGCAGCAAAACTTTCGTCTACCTCAACCTGTAGACTGAACGATATAGCACTAAGCTCTACGCAGGCAATGTCAGACACTTTATCCACAGTATAGGATGTATCATGCGAGTACGTCAGGCGCGCTCGTCAGAAGGGCCGATACAAGAAGCTCTTCAAATCGAAATTGTGGCACCTCACCATGCAAAGTACCACAACACGGAACACTCGACGGGATACACGAAATGATCCCAAATGAAAACGGGAGTCGACGTTCCCCGAAAGCTTACCAGTGCTTCCGTGTTTGACGTGTTTCATTTTCGCTAGTTCCACCTGCGTCTGCATGAATAGTTGCATTCTTTGCAGCTCCAAATCCTTAGTAAATTCCATCCGCTTGGTCTCGAGGTCGGCAAGTTGTTGTTGTTTGGCGCTCTCTATCCTTTCATAAACTTCCCCGAACTTGATAATTGCCCTAGCTAGATCTTTGAACGGTCCATCCTGAAGCTTCCTCTTCTTGACAATCTTTCCTTCCGGGCCCGGAGTGGTGGCGTGGGGACAACTGTCGGTCATATCAGGACTCTCCTTCGACTTGGTGTTGGTGGAGGCGTTGTTGAAGGTCTTCGGCTCGCCGTCATCGACCCTGTCCCGCTTGCGTTTCTGACTTTTCGCCGACTTCTTGTGTTTTCTTGAAGTGCCAATCAATTCGTCCAACTTCTCGAAGAAGGCCCATTTGCTACCGGCTCCGCTAGTGGCGACCTTGTTCTTTTCAAGCTTATACTTCTTCTTCAATGTGTCTAACCTGTTCTTGCATTGCACATCGGTTTTCGGCGTCTTCCCATCCTCGCGATTGTTGACGGCTTCGGCGACATCCTTCCAGTGCTTCTGCTTCAGGTTACCCCGGTTGAGCTCCATGTAACGGTCGCCCCAAGCTTCGATGAGCGTGAACGTGGCCCCTTCGCTCCAACAATCTTCGCGGCCATGCTTCTCGTTGCCATCGCCAATCAGCTTCAGCGACCGCGAGGTGGGAGTCGAATGGATACCGGGGAGCGACAGCGTGAGAGCGTGGTGCTGTTGCGAGGCATCGGCCGAGCCATGAGCGCCGTGGTGTGCATGAGCATGAAGGTCCTCTTCCATGGACGGAATACCCACGGGGACCGGCCCCGGCAGAAGCCAACTTCAGGGAAGAAAAGGCAACGAAGGGCTCTAGGCCAGCCAGGCCCGAGGGGCCGGGGCGAGGGCAAGGCCGACGCGCGCAGAGGAGGGGGAGGGGCGGGGCGGGGCGGGGAGGGGATGGAATGGGCTGAGAGGCGTGACGAGCGAGCGTGACGGGTTTCCTCTCGTTCACTGCTCTGGTTCTGGTTCTGGCTCTCGGCCTCGCGGCGCTCGCTGTTCGCTCTGCGTTCGCTGCTCGTCGCTCACTTTCGCTACTACTTTTCTCTCGCCCGTCTATTTGCTTTTTCCCTCCCGCTCCCGCTCGCCGTGCGCTGCCGCTCGGGCCATTCAAGCGTGGAAGGAAGCGAATTCTCCCTCCCCGTCGCCTGCCCTCCCCGCGCCCCCAACCACTCCCTCCCCGCGCCAGCCAGCCCGCGGCTGCAAACTCAGTTGCCGGAGAATGCAATCGCGAAGCAGCAATCAGCAGCGCCGCTCGCTTGCACAGAAACTCTCGCTCTCGGTGATGTGTGGGGCAGGCCGCCCCGAGGAGCACAGACGCAGCAGCAGCAGAAGCAGCGGCCGAGCACCAGAAGAAGCTCAGAAAGACGAATGGCGAGGCGGGGGAGCGCGGCGGGCGAGGAAAGAAGAACTCAGGCGGACGAGCCTCGGCTCTCATTGACCGACTGACTGCCTGAGCAAGCACTCCTCGCTGACTGAAGTGCGCAGCCGAGTAACCCTCGGAGCCAGCCAGCCAGCCCCAGCCAGCCACACGAACATGCTACAGACAAGAACAGGCCGGCCCCATGCGTCGGTCGGTCGCGGGCGGGGCGGGGCGGGGCGCGCGCGCTCAGAATCGCTCGTCTGAGCAGAAACGCGATGGCGATGGCCGGGACGCGACCCCGAGGACCCCGAGGGCTCGCTCGACCTCTCTCGTGCTGCACCCGCAGCAGCGGCGGCGATCCAACCGCAACTGAAAGCAGCAAAGAAGAGCCCGAGGCGACCGAAAGAAACGAGGAGTCGACGAAGTGACGCGGACGCGCTTTTGCTCGGAAAGACGTCCGGCCCTCTGCTGCTGGTGCTGCTGTGTTCTGCCAGGCTGCCGCCAGGCTGACCCCGGTGCCCGCTGTCGCGACGGGCAGCCCCCGCCCCCTGCCCAGCCCGGCCCGGCCCGCCTTAATTACCGCTCTCTCCTCGGCGGCAACTCCTTCCGACGTTCGCAGTCGGCCCTCGCTCCTCGCTCAACCACCCCCACCTCCGCCCACATGACTCGGCTCGACCCTCCCGACGCGGCCCTACCCGACCGGACCAGGCCAGTGCGCAGCAGCCCGGGTCCCACCTCGCCCCCTCACCCTCGGTTCTGCCCTGCCTGACCGCGGTAAAAGCAGCCCGGAAAGGCGGCACCCGCAGGGCGGCAGGGATCTGAAATTATCGCGTGATCCCCCGGAGGCATGGATTCCCTGTGCTCTTCGTCCCAAACGGCACCTAGAGATTTGAGCGTTTTCTCCTTTTGCCACGATGTTTTAGCTTTTCCCCGTTTGGCGGCGTCTTTTCCATCCCATGTCATTTGGGTTCTAACCAGGCGTAGAAACTTTTGCACTAGATTTCTCGTCTACTTCTCGCTCTTTGCATATAAATTAATTCTTCGTTATTGTAGTTAGCGAAGAATAAACATCCATCCCAGATTTATCTAGCAAAGATGATAAAGAGCAACTCTAAAGATGCACAATTGCAACTTCTGCAAAAATATTGCGTGAATTTGTGCATTTCACAGGGTTTTGGGTGAAATCCTTGTCTTGCTTAGAAACAAAGAATGTTCAATAATTTGAAAATATCAAAGTATCTACTTTCCAATTGTTAATAGTATTATATCTTTGTGTTTTAGATATGTTTTTGGCTCGAATCACGACTAGTCGGCTAATATTTATTGTCAATCGGTTTGCTGTCTCATAGAATTTTTTAGTCAATTTCATTGAATCCTCTCTACTATAAATTGTAGTTTCATGGTAGTCTCAATGGAATTGACACACAAGCAATAACGATGTGAGATGGCAATAGCATTGCTATTAAAAAACGTAGACTCAGACGGCTCCAAAGATCCATGATCTTTGGAGCCGTCCGAGACCCATGGGTCTCAGACAACCATGCATGTTGACAATGTGACGTGCAACTAGCGCCAACCGTCAAAAAACGTTTGTGACCTATTCTTGTTCCTCACTCGATTGCATTGTCTCATGATTCGTCACTCGTCTTGATGGAAGCAAAAAATTCATGATCTCTTTCAAGACATCATCTCGTTTAGTGTTCAATTCAAACAACGGATCTCGCGTTCTACATGTATCAATAATCATGCTTCATGTGTTATTCTTAAACGCCAAAGATGAAGCATATTCATGTAAGCACCATAGCTCATGCTCTGCGGGCATCATTCTTGTTCCTCACTCGATTGCATTGTCGTATGATTCGTCGCTCGTCTTGATGGAAGCAAAAAATTCATGATCTCTTTCAAGACATCATCTCGTTTAGTGTTCAATTCAAACAACGTATCTCGCGTTCTACATGTATCAATGATCATGCTTCATGTGTTATTCTTAAACGCCAAAGATAAAGCATATTCAGGTAAGCACCATAGGTCATGTTCTGCGGGCACAAATAAGCATGTTTTGTATGTTATTTTTAAACTCAAAAGAGTAAACATATTCATATGTGCACCATAGGTTGTTTTCTTCAAACATCAATATGCATACTTTGAATGCTATTTTTAAACGTGAAAGATGTAGCATTTTTTTGTGTGCATTTCATATCATAGTCATGCCAAAAAGAATTTTGAAACCATGATGTCATAGTGGATTTTTTTTCATCAATCTTTGAAATTGCATGTGCAAAGGTTAATGTTAGCATTGATCGGTATATCAAGTGCTACTAGTATTTCTTTAACTTTGTCATTCACGTTTTTGCGGCATCCTCTTACTAACGTGTGATGAAACCATCGATAGTACATTGATTACCATTGATGATTTTTTGTGAAAGCTCGTTAACCAATTCATAAACCAAAATTTGCTTCGATAATGTCGCATATTGTTAAGTAGATAAATTGCTCATCTCATAGAAGCAAGCAAGAAAGTCTTTGAAGGATTTCACTTTATTTCATATGATTGAGCTCAATCTTACAATGTCACCATTGTGCTTGTACATGTTTGAAAAAGATTAAAAATACTACGCCAAGCTCTAGTTATAATCAATCATTCTGAACATACTATTTTATCGATCTCCGATATCAAGCCAATGTACTTCTTTAGTCTCGTGTTTTTGGGTCGTAAAAAAACTTGAAACTTCCTATCAATCAGCTCATTGTCGAGATGATAATCAAATTGTCTTCACCATTGTGCAAATTTTTTTCAATTTGGCTTTGATGATTGCTTCACTATCAATTATACCACAATACGTGATGTGATACACACGTAGCAATAAATGTGTCATTTATCGTCAAAATTGATATCAAACTTGTTATTCAATTCATCTTGTAGATGCTATAATGAATGAATCATTTCACTAACATTGTCTATATTCGCGTCAAAAAAATTTATGTGTACATCTGCTTTTATTAACAATTCTAAAATAATAAATATTGTGTATCATCAATTGTGCGGCGGTGAAAAATATTTGAAAGTGAAAAAATGAAATCACCTAACATCTAGAATTCATCTATTCAAAGAAGCGTAATGATAAAGTAATTTTGAAACGTTTTGGTGCATCATCCGTCACAAGCAATCGCAATTTTTTCCAAAATAAATCTATAAGTTTTGCAAAATTGTTTGATCATGACAATGATTTTGTCAACTACGGCACGAGTAAAGATTGAGCGTAAATAGCTAGTTCAAAAATGATTTAGTTGATCAACATTTGCCCAAACAAAGCTCTCTCCGCTAAAAAAAAACTTTGTATTGTGTCAATCATATAATCTATCACGCTCAGTCTTAGTCAAGTCATTCAAAACATTGTGCACTTTCAAATAAAAACCATATATTGCGTAAGTTGTTTAGGACAGATCTTGTAATAATGCGTCTTCAAATGATTTGCAAGTGATGCGATAATAATCTTTCAAATAAAAAACAACATTTGATGTCGTCAAGAATCTTGAATGGATTTTCAAATACAAGTTGTTTGCAACGCAAGAGAGTAGTATGATTCATAGTACAGTTGTTTAGGACAGATCTTGTAATAATGCGTCTTCAAATGATTTGCAAGTGATGCGATAATAATCTTTCAAATAAAAAACAACATTTGATGTCGTCAAGAATCTTGAATGGATTTTCAAATACAAGTTGTTTGCAACGCAAGAGAGTAGTATGATTCATAGTACAGTTACAAAATATGTACAAATCCAAAATATTTACTTTTGTTTCTTTATGCGTTGTTCGGTGGACGATATTATAATTGACGGTAACGATAGGGGTAAAATGTCAATGTCATTGTTATTGAATTCTTCATTTGACATCAATATTAGCACATACAAGATCTGATCTTCCATAATCACATACTCTCAATGTTAGCTTTTCATAAACTTGCAAACGCCGTCGCATACTTGCCACTATAGTTGATTGGCCAAAGTCTAGTCAGCTAATATGGAGACTCTAGCCGACTAGCTATTTATATCGGTTAGCAAAAAGTTAAACTATTTGGTGATCATGATTATTATGTTTTGATTTTGCATTTTGAAGTATACTATATCATCACACATCATATTATTATTTATTTTGCTTATATTCAAAATGTAACTTAAGGTTAAAATGTTGCTCACACAAGATTTTTATGCAATCAAGTAAAATTTAAATTGTATTTTTATATCTTTGAAGAAATCATTTATTACATCACCGTCAACAAAATTATGTTGTAGATTAACAAACTATTAAATTTGTTCCAAACAAATTTAAAAGTTTGTTAATCTAATAGAACAATGGAGCACACAATTAAAACATATTTAATCTAATATTAACAAAGAAAAAAAACTTTATGTGTATTTATGTCTTAGATTATTCCAACATTATTGATCAATAGTAAAGTTCGCGCAAAAATAAAACACAAAGTCTAACAATAAATTATATTAATAGTATATATCTTTTTTATATATAAATATCTCCAACAATCACACAAAGAAAAGAATTCACATCTACTATACATTCTATTTGTAATGCATTTATGACATTACAGATTTATAGTTGTCTTACATCTAAATGTGCAACATAAATCAAGAAACATTGTGTGTACTTAACAAATATTTA